TCACTTCTGTCCTTCCTCTTTGCTGGGGACCAGCTATGTTTGGCGGTCTTTCACCAAACCAAATATAAATGATAAAGCATGGAAACTGTGTCGGGAGCCCTGAGGCAGTAGGAGTTGGTGGCAACTGTGCTCCATCTTCTGCCCAGAGAGGGTCTGGTGAAGTGGCTCACGGGGTACACATGATCTACAATCTTGATTCCCAGAACCCATGTGAAGGTTGAAAGAGACACTCTGTAGCGTCGTTCTATGACCTACATATGCATGTCATGGCATGTGCCTGCCTTGCCCTCTCACGCAAGTGTGAACGCATACATGCACCCTAAAATAAGTAATAAACAAACAAACAAATTTAAATACTGGTCAGCTTAGAAGGGGGGCCAGACTGTGATTGGTCTTTTGGGTGATTTATTCCATGGACGGTGGAGATACAGTTCACTTTCTGCAATGTGTTTCTCTTGCATCTAAGCTACGTGATCAGTTGCGGCAAGCTTCTAGAAAGTAGCCTTGCAGGAGGGTTGGCATATGCTAATCCATCCAGGTCACTCAGCCCAGCCCAGTGCTAGCCTCTGCACCAAAAGAGACTGGCGGGTTTTGAGAAAGGCCCCGCTGCACTGATGTGTGTGGTTGAGTCCCCCCACCCCCCAGAAGGGCTGGTTTGTGAATGTGCCGAGCCCTGCTCACCTAACCACAGAGCTGTGTTTTGTTTCTTCACCGGATACACCTGCCTGAAGGCAGGGTTCATTGGGGCTGCAGGCTTTGCTTGGTTTTACTTGTAAAAAGATCGTACCCTCCAGATAAACCAGCCCATGTTATGGTACACTGAGGCCTGCAAGACCAAAAAGGAGCGAAGCTGGTTTCCTTTAATTTTCTCTTGGGGGTGCAGGATGGTCACATACACCTTCCCCCATTTGAAAGGACGTTCTTCACTCTTCTGTAAGTTCCTGTTTCCTAACGAGTCCCATTCAGAAGTATCTTAGAGACCTGTGGACACAGTGCGGACCATCCTTGAGGAAGTTAGACCCTCTTCTCTGTTTTTCCATCTTGTTGATTTTGGTGCTATTACATCTTTAATAGTGACTGCTTGCTAACGCCCCTTTCTTTAATTTAAAACATGTATTTATTTTATGTGTATGTGTGTCTATGTATCGTGTGCCCATGGAGGCCAGAAGTCACCAAGTCTTCAGGGCCTGGGGTTATGGAAGGTTATGAGCTGCCATGTATGTACTTGGGAGTTGAACCTGGGTCCTCTGGAAGGGCAGCCAGTGCTCACGGCTCATAGCTGCTGAGCCATCTCTCCAGCCCCTAATCTCCCTTTCTGTTAGAAAAACAAAACAACACAAAACAAAACAAAACAAGGGGCCCGTAAGGAATCTCAGTGATAGAAGAGGTGTTTAGATTCTGCACGGCCCTAAGTTCTGTCCCCAGCTGTCAAAGCATGTGGAAAAACAAGCGTTTCCTCAGATCTCTCTACACATATCACTGTGTAAACAAAATCAGGCTTCAGATTTGGAACTCTTGTCAGATATGATCGCCTATTTAAATGTTACCATACTGACTTGTCCGTGATGGTACACACCTATAATCCCAATACTCAGGAGGAAGAAACGGGAAGATCAGGAATTCAAGGCTAGCCTTAGCTATGTAGTGAGTGTGAGGCCAGCCTAGGCCACAAAAGACTGTGCCTCAAAATAAAACAAAGCAAGACAGAAGTAGCAAAAGTTATAATATTCTTATCAAATATTATAGTTATCAAATAAGGTTTGATGCTATGTTTTTATTACAAGTACTTTTGCCTTTAATTCATGGTGAGGGATAAAGGCCCATCATTTATTTTTTTTAAGGATATCTTGTTTCCTTTTAAAAATAAACATATTTAAAAATTTAAATGTCAAGCCGGGCGGTGGTGGCGTACGCCTTTAATCCCAGCACTTGGGAGGCAGAGGCAGGTGGATCTCTGTGAGTTCGAGGCCAGCCTGGTCTACAAGAGCTAGTTCCAGGACAGGCACCAAAAACTACAGAGAAACCCTGTCTCAAAAAAAAAAAAATTAAATGTCAGTTTATTTGTCTCCTCTTTCTCTCTCTGGTCTGATATATTAGCTAAGCTACAGTTCTGCTACTGATCCCCATCTTCACCATGATGCCAGAGGATGGCAAAAGGACCAGAGAGCTGGCCAAGAAAGACAAAGGCCTCGGACACAAGACGCTAGCAGGCCCCAGAGGAAGTGGTCCAAAGGCAAAGTTCCGGATAAGCTCACCAGCTTTGTCCCGTCTGATAGACTTGGTTAGACATTCTGTAAGCATCTGAGCCCAGCTGTAGTCTGCAAAGGGAGGCTGAAGATTCAGCCGAGGTCTAGCAAACCAGGTCCAAAGCATACAACTTAAATGGTTTACCTCAGAAAAACGAAGAGTGAAGTTGTCCCAGCTGCAGGAGAAGATGCACAGGCAGGTTCAAACCAGCTGTGCTACATAGATGTAGAAAGTTTAAAATGAAAACAAACCCCAAACAAAACAGTTCTTTTAAATTGGGTGTGGTGACTTCTATCTGTAATCCCAGGACTAGAAAACCAGAGGCAGTAGGATCACTGTGAGTTCAAAGCCAACCTGGGCCACAAAGAACACCCTGTCCCAAGCAAGCAAACAGCAACAACAAACTCACAAAAGTCAGCTGAAAAGAAATGAATGATTATCCCAGTGCTGTTCCCGGATGAAGTCGGGAAGACAGTACGTAGAGACATTTAAATATAGCAGAATTGGAAGGGAGCACGCAAATATTTAATGGAGAGCAGCTGAGCACTGGAACTGAACACATTTGGATTTGAATCATTGCCCACCACCTCTTGGATGATGGCTTTGGATAAACTTGTTCCGTACACACAAAATCTGGAGAATTATGTGTTACCTGCCTTGAGGGCTGTTTGGCTGTGACATGTGATCCTTGGACATAGTATGTGATCAATAAAATTAGCCATTTGTCACTATCATGGGGGGTCAATTTATACTCATGCATGCTATAGGTATTTAGTGCCTACTCATTATCATTTCTGCTATGCTGGCTAAGGACTGCCAAGAAGTAGATGTCAGGATGGCATTAGATGTGTGGAAGAAGGGGAGGAAGGACAGAGAGGAGGAAGAGGCAGGAGGATGTGGTTTAAAAAGCTCTGGCATCTGTGCCTGGAGTGGATCAGGAAGGAGGCTGAGGGAAGTCTCAGGTTTACAGGAAATGTTTGGCCCTGGCTGGAAGGAGAAGGTACGTGTTCTCTCTTTAGTCTCCTGTTGGCCAAGAAATGTGAGCGTGTCAGTGGACCTAGAAGGGCAGCATCGGGGGCAGTTAAGCCCCCAACAGCATGAGACAAAGGGATAGATACCTTTCCGTGACTGGCAGAGTACCTTCTGTATCTGGCTCCTTTAATTTATGCATCATTGTGAGCTACTCGACCATTTTGACCCAGACTGGGGATCCAATTGGTTCACACCTGAAAGTGAGGTTTACTATCTAAAGGATAGAATCATGCCTGACTCCTGGTTTTCTTTTCTTCCAGTGCCAGGCTCACGAGCCAGGCAAATGACTTGCTGTGAAAGGCTGGTCTTGCTCACAGGTCTTTGCTCGCCGTGCCTGCCTTATAGCTCTAATTTTGTAGTTCAGACACTTTGCATTTCAGGCAGAGATTTAAGCACATTTGGCACATCCGTGCAAATCAGATCTACTATGGGGCCCCAAGGGGGAACTATTGGGCCGCATCCAGTCCACAGATACTAACTTTCACAGCGCTTTCAAAAAATATTTTTAAACCGATGTTTTAAAATTAGGGGATCTCATCTGGGGTAAAAAGGCTGGGATTTTTTTTTGCTTTGTTTTTCTTTACTTATTTTGAACCTCAGCAGATGTAGACACTAAACCTCAACTTTTGCATCATAGTATTATGTAGGCTGAAAGAGAGATCCCTTAAAATGGGATTTCTGGCTCAGTGGGTAAAGGAACTTACTGTCACGTGTGATGTCCTGAGTTTGAGTCCTACGTGCCATACGGTGGAAGGAAAATATCAACTCTCATAAGTTGTCTCCTGACCCACATATACACCATGACATCTGTATGCCCCAACAACACACATATGCAATAAATAAATAAGCAAAATTTTAAAAAAGGGTTCTCTCATTCTTTATGGCTTACAACTATCTAGGGCCTGCCTATGTCCTTGGACTCGGCAGGATTCACTGACTTCCTGCTTTGTCTAGTCTTTTGGGCAGAGAATTTTACTGGTCCTCTTACCTGTACATTCTTTCCTTCTATTAATACAACAATATTCTAGAGAGACTCGTGACTGACCAACTAGGGCATTTCCCAGACTCCCTTGCAGCTAGGTGTGGTCATGTGACTAATTTTTGGCCAGTGGAGTTGATATGGGGAACTTGTAGAGAACGTCATTTTAAAGAAAGGTCTGATGTCATCTCTTGCTCCTTTTCTTCTCCTTCCCAGCTGGGATATAGAAGCAGTAGTAGGATCTGGAGCCGACTATCACAAGATAAAAGCCATATATTGAAACTCGCAGAGCGAAACGATAAATGGAAACTGGATCTTCGTTATTCTGGATCACCATCTCCATCACCAGGTCTATAATAAAATTTTGCTAGGTTCTGACATCAGAAAAATAAACTCTGGGGTTGGGACAGTGTTTCAGTTGGTAGAGTGCTTGCCTAACATGTATGAAGGCCTTGGGTTTGATCCCCAGTGCCGTGAAAACCAAGCAGAGTGCACACACCTGGAGTTCCAGTATGGGGGAGGTGAAGACAGGAAGTCATCCTCAGCCATGTAGTGAGTTTGAAGTCAGTCTCAGAAGCTTAAGACCTTGTCTTAAGAAAAAGAGAAAGACACCACTTACTAATTTATATTAAAAATAAAACCCCCATTGCATCTATTTTGAAGATTTATTTTTTGTTTGCACATGCGTGTGCGTGTCTGTGTCTGCCACATGTGTTCTGGTACCTGCAGAGGCCAGAAAAAAGCATCAGATCCCCTAAGTTACAGACAGTTGTGAGTCGCTTGACACGGGTGTTGGAAACCAAACTTGAGTCATCTTGAAGAGCGGTAAACGGTCTCAAACACTGGTCTGTCTCTTCACTTCTTTCCATTCTATCTTAACTAATACATTCCTGTTTGCTGTGGGATCGTGGTCCATGGGTTGGACCGAGAAAATTGGGAACTGGTGTACAAAGGAAAAGACACTTCCTGATACTTCAAACCGTCTCTGCTCATAAATGAGGCCTGTGTGAGCAGCATCGAATCAAACTGCACTGGGAGCTGAGGTGAGCGCCATTTTCAGCATGGGAAATGCAAAATCAGAACACTCTGTCTCGAAGATTCTGCTTGTTGCCTGTCCATGACAGCTGGCTGTAGACTGGTTTGTGCGGGCGGCTCCTCAGGGACTGCCGTTCCTCACAGCCACTTGTTGAGGTTCACATTCTCATTTATTTTTTCTCCCCCCGACCTAGTCTTTAAAGGCCACACTTGAGCAGGCAGCCCCCCGACTTCTCAGAAGTGGAAGTGAAGTAGAAAGTTCTTGCTTGGTACTTTTCTGATCCCCAAGGGACTGAAATGCGAACCCCTGAAGACGCTGATGGCTTCAAGCTGAGAGGACCTTGTTGTGTTGAATGAGGACAAAGAGCCAGTTATAAAAATGGCCTGTGCAGAAGGGTGTCACTGTGTCCCCAGAGGCAAGCCCTCAAAGTGACGTGTTCATGGTCCCTCTGAGTAATGAACGGAAGTAACCAATGAAATTCAAGCTGCTTTACTAACATCAGACTATTGAGTGCAGTCCAAGGGCCTTCCAAGCCAGGACTATTTGGGGGAAAGGAAGATTTATCTAAGGAGCACCAAATGTGCCATGGAGTTTATGTACATTGTCCTACTGAGTCATGTCAAAAACCCTATGAGGTAGGCCATTGTAAATGTCCTTTAAATTACCTTTATTTGTCTTTTTATTTCTTCATTCACTCCTCTTCAGAAGGGTGGGAGTAGCTGACTGAAGAGAGTTTGTAATGGGAGCGGGAGATGAAGACAGAAAGCGAGATTGGGATCTTGAGAACCTCAGACACCTGCACAAAGCCATCCTAAGCCCCACAGTGCCCAGAGGAAAGTCCGCGTGCAGCTGTGAGCTCTGAGGAGGAAGCGATGGTGCACCGGCAGATGGGCACGGGAGGGCGGGCTCACTGGTGGCAAGCTAAGCCAAAGCAGTACATTGGCCACACTCTCACGGAAGGCTTTGCTGAATGACGGTAGATGCGACCCTGTGCAGAGAAGGGTTGCAATTTAAGACTTAGGGAGACTAGGCAGGAGTCCTGCACGTTTAGGAAAGTGCGTTTCACTGGTTCCTGGCAAAGTCATTTTGAATTACCCAGCTTGCTTTTTTTTTTTTTAAATGAACAGATTCTATGTCCATTTCTGCCATGTCAAAAAAAAAAAAAAAAAAAGGGGGGAGCAAACAATTTCCAATGCAGGGATTGGAGACACTGTGTGCCACCAAATACCAAGAGGAACTTGGTCAATTTCTCTTTTTAATTAGTGCTGCTGTTATTATCTCTTATCTTTTACCTCTTTATTTTCATTCAGTGATAAAATAGTTCCTAAGTGAAGTCACACAATTCCAGTCCAAACCACGAACCAGCTCTTCAGACGAGATAAACCCCAGCTCCGCTGGGCCCCAGGGGACGGTTAACCTTGCCCTTGGCATCCTTTCTTCCTCTCTCTGCCACAGATGGGCATCTCCCAGCTCTAGACTCCCTCCTCAGTGCTCTGAGGAGCTAGATACGGCTTTCGGAAATAGAGCAGTGGTGTGAGATGTGGCTCCTGACGAGGCAGCCTGGCTGGGGTGAGCGGGAGGGCCCAGGCGTCTGCATTTGGGTGGCAACCCAGCAATACTCCTCTCCGGTCCTGAAGGATTAAACCCCTTCTACAGAAGGAGTCTGGGAAGACTGGATGGACTCTCTGGACGGGAGTCGGGAGGTATCAGATGGGAACCGAGGAGCAAGTACTCCAGAGGCTCCTGGGACCATGACGGAGACTGACCTTCTGTTTGAGTCAGAGGAGATGGCCCTGGAGACCAGGCAGGCATTACAGGAGATGGTAGTGGCTTTGATGACGGGCAACATCTGGTTTTATTTTTTCTTCCTTTCTTTAAGAAATTTATATGAGTGTTTCACCTGCATGTCTATCTATGTACACGTGTGCGCCTGTTGCTCATGGATGCCAGAAAAGGGCATCAGATCCCCTGGAACTGGAGTTACAGATGGTTGGAAGCCTGCACACGGATGCTGGGAATTGAGTCCGGGTCCTCTGGAAATGCTGCCAGTGCTCCTAACCACTGGGCTATCTCTCCAGCTCAATACCTGGTATTCAGGTTTCCTCGAGCTGATTGCATTGCACACAAGTTCCTGGAACTGGCCTGTGGCTCATCATGTTTTCTTTTGCTCCCCACTGCTTACTCCGTAGCCAACCATCCTGTGTCCTACGGTAGGCCTTAGAATGGTAGTGACATCGCTCGTCATGGCTGTGTGTTCGATTGGGACTTAGGAACGTGATGAGGTATTAGCACACGAGGCCAGGAAATGAATTAGAAGACCTGAGACTCCTGGAGTGTCTGACTGGAGTGGATGAAAGCAGAAGTGTAGCTCTCAGTGTCGTGGCCAACAGCTCTCCAGTGCTGTAACCCTGCGAAGCTTGGGAAGAGAGAAAATTAATTTGAACCAAGAGCATCCTTCTCTCCTGCTTGCCTTTCCTGTGAGCCCTGGGACTCTTATGGGTATTAGGGAAAGAGAAGCAGAGAGAAACAGGGTCTGAAGTAGGAGTTTGGGACAGGGATAGGTCAGTTCAGCAATTTTTTTCTTGCCTTTAGAATCAATCTTTGACCTTATCTCTTTTTCCCCCCTTTAGGTAAAATCTGCAAGTAGAAAAGGCAGTATTTGCCAACTATTGCAATTTACCTGAAGTTGACTGGATTCTTAACATGAAAGTCCGTTTGGCTTTTTACAGTACTTAAGAAAATAGTGGTGCTGGGGGGAGATGGCTCAGAGGTTAAGAGCACAGACTGCTTTTGCAGAGGACCCGAGTTCAGTTCCCAGCACCCACATTAGGTGGCTCAGAATTCCAGGTGATTCGATGGCCCTACACACACATACACGTGCCCCTGCTGTGGGATAATGCTCTTGTACCCTGTAAAGATTTGTCATTCGTATTGGTTTAACAAAACACTGATTGGCCAGGAGCCAGGCAGGAAGTATAGGCAGGTGGCCATACTAGGAGAATTCTGGGAAGATGAAAGGCTCAGTCTGCAGTTGTCACCCAGACACAGAGGAAGCAAAATGAAAATGCTGCACTGAGAAAAGATACCCAGCCATGTGACTAAATATAGACAAGAATTACGGGCTAACTTAAGCTGTAAGAGCTAATTAATAATACACCTGAACTAATAATTTGTCATTAATATAGGCCTCTGTGTGTTTCTTTGGGACTGAATGGTTGTGGGACTGGATGGGACAGAAACTTCTGTCAACATTCTCCCATCACATAATTTTTTAAAAGTACATTTTACACTAGTTTATGGCTTCTTTAATTGTCATGATAAACCCCTGCAACAGGAATTGCTATCCTCCCACAGATGAGGAAACTGGGAATGAAGAAACAGCTTGCCCAAGGTCACACAGCCAGCAAGTGGTAGATTTTAGGGCTTCTCTTCCTGTCACACCTGTCACCATTATTCTCAGGGATGAGAAGTCACCTCGACACATAGCACAGGATCCAGTTTAGGTTGCAGACCTTCCTCTGGACTGTTTCAGACAGTTGCATTGTGACCCTCTGAGGGATATTCAGCTCCTCAACTTTGCCAGTGTGGCCAGGGCAGACAGTGGCCACCTCCTTGTCACCTAAACAAAGATAACCTTTTCCTCCAAATTGACGTTCATTTCTGTTAGGGAATTGGCAGCCTTGACTCATAAGGAATGCATTCTGGAGTGTTCTAGTTTAGTGAGAAAGACAGTCTTCTTTGGAGACAAAAGAGGAAGAAGAAAAAGGAGGAAGCAGAGAGAGTCCAGAGGAGGAACGAGAGCCCAGCTGTAGGTGAAGGATGTTCTAGCAGGAGTGGGGGTCAGCCCCACTTTCCTCTAACCCCGGCAAGCAGGTGGTTTCTCTGTCTCCTGCCTTGAGTCATAGGGGCCTCTTCAAGTCAAACAGTTGAAATATCAAGTTGGTTAAAATACCAGGTTTTGTGAAAATTCTCATGAAATCTGTCTAACTTGTTTGCATCTCAGTTTCCTATCTGGAAGATGGAGATTTTAATGTCTCCTTCTGCATTGGATTAAGGGGGAATTAATCGATTAGTTAACTGGTTGCAGCAATTTGACTTTCGGCTGAGAGGCGTTATCAATGTGATAATTTATATACATATTATATCAGTTATTATTTCAAAGACCTTAATAGCACAAGGAAAAGGACTTAAGACATTGAACATGAAGTAGCAGTGGCAAGAATTGAACTGAAGGGAAAGAATGACCTTGGCCAGCATATAAAAACAGTGGGTCCTGCCTTCTCTGCTCAGGAAGTGACTCTATCGGACAGTTCTGGCAAAATGACTTTGGACATAGAAATGCAGGAGAGACAAAGTCTACGCTAAGACTTGAAGCCATGTGCCTATGAAGAGCCCTGGACGGTCATCTCCTGCTGCCCTCTACTGGTCATGTGTGGGTTCTTGCATCCCGAGAACAGGTTAGAGAGTCTGGTATACTCGGCTTCACAGCTCCCTCACCTCTTCTTCCCTGTCTCCAAGGTTCCCATTGAAGCTTGACCTGTAGCCTTCCTAGTGGTACCTTTTTCTGCAGCACATCCAAAGCCACCCACTCCCACTGCTCCCTAAATTCTTGTAAGCCAGCAGAGGATGCTGGGGTGCTCAGGAGTAATCCACCAATGTGTGAGTTTTCCCGAAAAGCACTTGTTTTAAGGAGTTTAACAAGGCAAATGAAGCCAGTCTTGGCAGTGCAGGCCTGTAATCCCTGCATATGGAAGACTGAGGCAGAAGGATTGTTCTGAGTTTAAGGCCGTTGAGTTACATAATCAGTTCTAGGCCAGCCTGAACTAAAGGGAGACCATGAGACCATGTTAACAAATAAAAACCAGATGAATTCAAGTCAGTAGGAAGTGAAATGGATTCTGTGCATGTGTGAGCTTATCACATAAAATTGGAAGCCAGCTTCTCTGTATTTTATATGTAGGGAATCTGGTTTTCAATTGTATCAGCAGATCTCTCTCTCTCTCTCTCTCTCTCTCTTTCTCTCTCTCTCTCTCTCTCTCTCTGTGTGTGTGTGTGTGTGTGTGTGTGTGTGTGTGTGTTGATTTTTTTTTTAAAGACAGCTCTGGCTGTCCTAGAACTTTCTGTATAGACCAGGTTGGCCTTGAACTCACAGAGATTCATCCACCTCTGCCTTCTGATTGTGGGGATTAAAAGTGTGTGACCCAAGTCCGGTGACCCTCTTCTTTAAGTAGGACTCAAGCTCTTGGGGATGAAATCCTCCTATTTCTTTCCAAATAATTCTGGAAGAAAATTTCAAAAGCAAGTTTTATTTTTAGCATTAGATTGATTTTTATACCACTTGAAAATGAACAGCTGGAATTACTGGGTTTCTAAAAAGAAGAAAAAATTTAGGTTTCTAACTTGCAGATCCAGGTGGTTGTACCAGCTCTAGAGTTTGAGTCAGCATTCCAGTCCCTAGTTGGGAAGGAAGGTGCCGAGAAGTGTACTCTCCAGTCCTTTAAATGTGAAACCTCAGTAAGTTTTCTCTCACTGAGAAGGACTTGGGTAGGATTTACTGTAAGGCATATTGAAATTTTATTCCCAGGCAGCCGTGTGTACTTCTCACAGTGGGCATTTATTGCTAAAGAGTGAACGGATGGATTTGGGGATGAGTGGCATCTTGCAAGTCTGTTCCTGAGACAGTGAGAGGCATTTAGCTTCATGTAGGATCAGACTGAAAATGGACTCTGCTTTCTCTTCTGCTCTTGTGGAAGCATAACTGGACCCGGGGGTGGAGTCAAGGCTCCCAGAGGGACATTTGCTGCTACCAGTCCCTTTCTGCTCCCACTTCACATTGCACTTGGTGTTGAAACGTTTCTCAGTGCCTCATGCAGGAAAGCGTGGTTCAGAGAGGAGTCTGATCAGACCATGGTGGCTCTGACCTCATCAGTAGCCTGGTCCATTGAGGGAGTCATGACCGAATGGACTATTGGAAATATAGAAACCGTCGGAGGTAGGGCCTAGTGAGGGGAAGGTGACTGGGGTTGACTCCTAAAGGGTGCATCTTGTCCCTGACCCCGGGTCATGTTACGCTCACTCTCTGCTTTCTGGAAATCACAAGGTGAACAGGCCTTATCTGCCATACTCTTCTATCACGATGGACTGCTGCAGCACAGTTCCCAGACCAACAAGGCAAGGACTATGAACTGAAGGGCTCTATGAAACCAGGAGTCCCAATCAATCTTTCCTGTTTGAAGATGATTTTCTCATACAGTGGCAGAAAGCTGATTAATATACATTGTGACTTTATAAGGTACTGTCTCGTCATCGTGAGTCAAGCAGTCAAACAGAAGACGGGTGTACCGCAGTCCCTGATCTAGAGTTTGTTTTTTGTGACTTGTGTTACCTGCAGTTGACTGTAGTCCAGAGATATTAAATGGTGTTACAGGACAGAGAGTCAAATTGGACCTGACCTGAAAGCTTCCTCCCTAATGGCTGGCTTTCACTTAAGGCTGCTGGAGGAGAAAAGTCATCCGTGGTATTATCCAGCAACAAACTGCGATTGCTGCAATACTGACCTGCCAGGCAAGATGTGTCCACTGGTGCAATGGTGGCCTGTAGGTCAGAGGGGTAAGCAACCACTTTCTGATGGGAATCAAGGCGTGCACCACAGGAGGGAATCCGTGCATGATACTGCAAATCTGGGCCCAAGTCTATGACTGTGGGTATTATAGACCCTATGGGGGAACCTGCTACTGCTGTTTTGCTAAATGGGCATGTTGTCAAACTATCTTCTAAATATTTATGTTTATATTCATAGGTCAGTGCTGCTCCCAATCCTGGCTAGAGGAACTTCTTCTGCAACAGGCAGCATTTACTTCTGTGGAGGCTCATGAATAGCGAAAGTGCTGAGCATAAGTGTCTTTGGGATGCTCGACCCTAAATAGGACATCTGTATCCATCCTTCTAAGACTCTAATATCATAGAAGAGAGGGTGGAAAGAGTGCCAGAGCTGGAGGCTGGGAGGGGATGCTGTGAGGTGCTGTCTTCTGGGCACTACATGGTCATTGTCCTCATAAACTGACTGCACTTACGGTCACGTGCATAAAGTCAAGCCAGCACCATGCTAGCAGGCAGCACCAATTGGAATAGTGGGTTCGAAAACATTAGAGAAGGAGAAAACATGAAGGGAGAGAGAAGGGATGTGCTGGGCTGCCTGGGGGTCGGAGTGGAAGGGGAGAGCTGGGGGTAGGTATGGACAATGTATTTTTGGACATATGTAAAAATAAATATGTTAAGAATAGATGAAAGATGAAAAACATATCAAATTTAAAAATTAGAGACAAATTCATAAATTTAGAATAGACTTTGTTCTGAGTAGCATAGTAAAATCTTGTGTTGCCCTACCACCCAAGAGGGGAGTCACCCCTCTGTCCAGGGTATCCCTGCTGTGTATGCTCCCTGCCCACATGTCAAACAGTAGCCAGCATAGTTGTCAGATCAACTGTCTCCGTATCAAGGTGCATACATTTAATTACCTCTTATGCATTGATGCTAATCCCTGCACTTAGGCATTGAAGAATCTCACATCACTGGAAGAAGGGTGAATACAAAATATATTCAGGAAGTTGGGCTTGGTGTCTCACTCCTGTAATTGCAATACTCAGGAGGTTGAGGCGGGGGGGGGGATCCTTCTGAGTTGAGGCTCTAGGGTGAAACCTTGTCACAGAAAGACAAGAACTGTTTATTTTGTTTTGTTTCTGGAAACAAACTTTTATTGAGGTGCATTGTTACAAACTGTTCTAGCTTGTTAATGTTTATTTCTTCTGTGCTTAATTATAAATTACTCTTTTACAAAAATGCTTGTGTTTATCCTTTTAATTATGTGGGCATGCGTGAGTATGTGCACGTGTGTGCAGGGACCACAGAGTCCAGAAGAGGGCAGCAGTCCCACTGGTGCTGGACTTAGAGGCAGTTGTGAAGCTGTATGTGGGTGCTGGGAACCAGGTTCTCTAGAAGAACTACTCATGTTTCAGAGTTACCCTGGAGGCCTTGCCATCTCCCCCACAGGTAGGAGGGACTGCTGTGTCTGTTTTCCTTCTCCCGTGAGTGTTAGAGGCCGTAGATACTTAGGACAGACGAAGGCCTTATGATCAGTATCCTTTTAGCTTGGTGCCTTCCGTAGCACTCATTACCTTCCTGCAGGAGCTGCCTAGACCCAGGCTCCTTGGCCAGGACATCCTCTTTGTTTTATCATCGGCCTTTGGAAACGGACAGTGAAGAGCAACTGATGAAACCCTCCTGGTTGCAACGTCTCTGTTTATATCCGGTGGTAGTGTCTGTGGTCATCTATCTCAAACCACGGCGGGGCAGGAAGCTTCTGCAACCAGTTGATAAGAAGGGCACCTGCCATGTGCACGCTAATCTTGAGGAACTGGGGAGCCCAGGGCACCTGGATTAACCACACAGCGAGGCAACCTTTTAGAACTCTTCAATTGCTCAATTACTCAGACTTGCTGTGTTTGGGGAAATATCTTCTGTCCCACCCAAGGAGAAAAGCTTTACCTGCTGAAAGTTGTTCAACTTCCTGAAACACACCCCTGGTCCCAGCAGCTAGACCTTTAAGAAATGGCTAACCTGCACACACAAGCCCTGCTGATTGTTTCTTGAGGCCAGAGCATGCACCTGCGTGCTGGCTGGTTGCTGGGGCTATGAGATCCTGCCTTTGTGCTCCTCGTTCTAGCTTCTTCTTTTCCTTGTACGCCATCCCCCATGACATAGCAACACATGCATCTTTCAAACCTTACTTCGTCTTGGTCTGGACTGACCTACTGCCCGTCTAGACCCCACCTCCTTAGACTCTAACTCCTCACCAAGCCTGGCCTGTTTCCTTCTAGGCACAAGCATTGGGGAACTGGGCAGCCAGTCCAGGGCCTGTGGAATGAAGAGTCAGTGTGGTGGACAGCATGGACTCTGGAGCCACAGGGCTCTGTGTGTGACGTAGTGGGCGAGCTGGGTGGTGTTAGGAAGAGGTGGTAGGACATCCCGTGACAAGAATGTCAGCCTCTCCTAGGTGGACAGAGTCGGATGACGCCTTCCTTTCAGTAGGGTCAGGAAGATCAAACCTGGAAAGGGAAGGAGTTCAGAAAGTTCTAGAACAAGACCGAGTGTATCAGGAAGGCTGGTAAAAATCTGTCTGGCTTCAGTTGAGCAACAGGCGTTTCCGTTCTAAGGCGTTTGACCTCCTGCTTGACAGCTGGTTTGGATCTTCCATGTCAGTCGGTGTTAACAATTGCCCACCCTTGGCCCGAGCCATCTGACACACCTCTTCATTCATTTCTAAGTGGTCAGCTTGACTGTTGGTGTTTGCTGGAGTTCACTAGGTGTCAGGCACTGTTCTCATAGACTTTATCCTCTCTTATTATTTTATGTAAGTGTGTCTTAGTTTGGGTTACTATTGCTATGCTGAAACACCACGACCAAAATCCACCTGGGGAGGAAAGGGTTTATTTCACTCAGAACTCCATCATCAAATGCAGCGAGGGTAGGAACTCAAGCAGGGCAGGAACCCGGAGACAGGAGCTGATGCAGAGGATGTGGAGACGTGCTGCTTACTGACTTGCTCCCCATGGCTTACTCTTCTTGCTTCCTTATAGGACCCAGGACTATCAGGCCAGGGATGACACCACCTACAATGATTGGACCCTCCTGATCAATCACTAATTAAGAAATGCCTTACATATGGATCTTAGGAAGGCATTTTCTCAGTGGAGGATCCCTCCTTTCAGATAACTCCAACTTGTGTCAAGTTGACATAAAATTGGCCAGGACACATTGTGTGACAGGGACGTGGATTGAACACTGAGTCACCACTGTACCACATCCCCAGCTTTTCGCTTTTTGAGGCAGAGTGTTGTTATGTAGTCCGGGCTGTTCTCAAAGTCATGATACTTCTATCTGATACTCAATGTGTTTTTAAAAAATTTAATCTCATGATTACAGCTACTCCCACTTTACAGATCAGGCAACTGAGCCAGAATCTCAGTTGTAGTAGGCCACTTGTTTGTTCCCAGCTGCTCAGCCCCAAAATAACCACACAGAAACTGTATTATTTAAATCACTGCTTGACCAATCACTTGATCGCATTGCTAGCTAGCTAGCTCTTACATCTAGAATTAACCCATTTTCATTCTCTTATATTTTACCATAGGGTTCATGACCTACCAGCAAGGTTCCAACTGACATTTGGGTCTGTCTTCAGCGGAGGCTCCATGTCTTCCCTTCACTCTACCTTCTTTCTCCCAGCATTCAATTTAGTTTTCCCCACCTAGTTCTACTCTACCCTAACTCAGGCCAAGGCAGATTCTTTATTCATTAACCAATAAAAGCAACACATATACAGAAGGACTTCCCACCCCACTCAGTGACAGTCTTAAGGTCACACAGCCAGGTCATGGCGCAGCCCATTGCTGCCTGGAGCCTGGTGCCCTGTTTCCAGAGTCCATGCTGTCCACCTTTCTGATTCTTCATTCCACAGGCCCTGGACTGGCTGCCCAGTTCCCCAATGCTTGTGCCTAGAAAGAATCAGGCCAGGCTTGGTGAGGAGTTTTGAGGTTAAGGAGGTGGGGTCTAGACGGGCAGAGGGTCAGTCCCGACCAAGACGAAGTAAGGTCTGAAAGATGCATCTGTAGTGAAATGCTGTCGCTATGTCATGGGGGATGGTGTACAAGGAAAAGAAAAAGCTGGAGGGAGGAGCACAAAGGCAGAGCAGAAAGCAGAGCAACCAGAAACATTCGGAAAATAAATGGAATGTCACCCGCATGACCAGTGACACTGGGCGGGCTCACTGAGTGTCCAGCAGTGGGATAAATGCTCTACCTGTACGAACTCATTCCGTCATTCCATGCAGTCAAACGGCAGCACCGCCAGTATCCTCAGCATCTAGATGGGGAAGTGAGACAAGCTACTTCAGGTAACTTGCTAACGCCACACACCTGTGAGCCAGAAGAGCTGGGTTCTGATGCAGAGAGTGGGGCCCGGGGTCTGTGCTCTGGGTCACTGCCTTGTGTGGTGCTCATTTGCCTTTGACCCGGGTGCTCTGGCTCTCTCTTCCTTGATACTGAGGCCTAGTGCACAGGCCTGACCCTCAAGCAGTAATTGAATCAGCACATACACAAGCACTGTGTTCCACGCTTACAACCTCCTCATGAGAGATTTCCAGCCTGTCCTTTCTCATCTCCAAAGTCAGCATGCTATTGCTTCCAGAGAGTTTCCAGCTGCTATTGCTAAAAATGGGCCCTTCGTTTGGGTAGCCGGCGAGGATGGGAGCTTTAGAACAATTTAAAGCAAGTATTCAAAAGCCATTGTGAGAGGCTTACCAGCCAAATATAGCACAATTTGGGCACTCAAACACTTGAGGACAGCAGTGGATTAGGAACTGCTACAACACAAGAGCCCACGTGCGTATACTGACTGCAGTGGTTTAAGGGGATGGGAGGGCTCCTGATTGCAGTAGAATGTGGAGCGCTAATTGGCAAACGTGCTAGGATTGAGAAACCACCATCTGCAATCATCCGAATGAAAACCAGCTCAGGTAAGGCTCAGTTATTGCTGCGTCTGAGCAGACGTTTGGTCATGGTGGTGATGGAACCTACGGTCTGGTGCAAGTTGTACCACTGAGCTACAGCCCAGCCTTATGTGTTGTACAGTCCAGAGAACACTCTATGGTAGCCATACTTTAGGGTTTTGTTTTTCTTATTTTGTTGTTGTTGTTATTGTTGTGTGTGTGTGTGTGTGTGTGTGTGTGTGTGTGTGTGTGTGTGATGTGTATGAGTGTCTCCAAGGAGGCCCCAAGAGGGTGCTGGATTCCCGGAACTGGAATTACAGGTGGTTGTAAGTTGTCTGATAAGAGCGCTGGGAAATAAACTCGGGTCCTCCGGAAGAGGAGTAAGAGAAGCTGTCTCTCCAGCCCCATTGCTGCGAATGAATGAGTTTATTAATTTATACAACAAGCCAACATATAAGAATAAACAGCAAGTAGCAGAGGGATACAGAACAGCACATTATCAAAGAAGCATCCATCGGAAGCCGACTGAGGAAGCCTTGTCAAGGCAGCCAGCGGGAGTTCCCCACTGAGGGTTCAGGGCAGAGCAGTGCGTCCTCTCCCTCCAATGAGGCTCTCAAGAGCAAAGAGCCGCAGACAGATGACATCACTCATCCAGCAGAAACAAACTGGGGAAGTTGAAGCTTCATCTCCAGTTCCCATGGGTGAGCTTCCCATGGCTGAAACCTCGCTTTGCCATGGCAGGGGTTTGTGCATCGTGAGGGGACAACAATAAGCTCTTTGGGGATTGGCTCATCTTCTAGCTGTTTCCCAGGACAACATGTATTCACTTTTTAGCTTCTTTCTGTGCCCTCCCCTGCCCAGCAGAGATAGAGGCCCTATCCCATCCACAGATATGGGAGGACACAATGGGCCCAAAATGGGGAACCAATCCCACTTTCAGAGCCCACTTCTTAGTGAGTTCAGAAACCGCATGACAATTTGCAAATATTCATTGCAGCCTTCTAAGTGGGAAATTGTGTGCACATGTGTGTACACATGTGCTCGGGAGTGTACGTGTGTGCAGAAGCCATAGATTAACAGTGGGGTGTCTTTCTCCACTTCTCTACTTTACATTTTGAGACAGGGTTTTTCACGGAATCCAGAGCTCACCATTTCAGCGAGGTTCACTGGCCAACAAGACCCCAGGAGCCACTGCCTCCGCCTCCCAGTGCTGCAGGTACAGCCATGTTCAGTCGCCCCAGGCAGCTTATGAGAGTCCTGGGGAGCTGCTCCC